AGCAATTTTAGTATTTCACCAACCCATAGGTTCAAGCATATAATGAAAACCTTATTTGATTCTAGGGGGCTGTTTGGTTCCCTGTTTTTAAGGGAAAACCACCGTTGAAAGCTTGTCAAAAGTGTCACTTTTTAGCAGGCTTTCAAGCAAAATCATTTTTTAGAGGCGTTTTTGCTTAAAGTCTGCCAAAGAAGTGACACTTTGACAGGCTTTTAAGGGATTTTTTTAACCAAACATCCCCTAATGGAATAAGTAGAGACGGCCCAACTTCCCAAATCCTAACCACGCATTCTAATTTCAAAGGATAAGATACGACCATATAGTGTTTCCACTATCGCATTAGTAGTCTTCACAACAATGGTTTTTAAGATAATAACAAAAAATTGTGCGTGACTTTGTCTTATCCTTAGAAATTGGGCTAGACGGTGAGGATTATTATCTCATTGGAGAGGATTTGAACCCTTAGACTAAATAGTAATATAGAAAAGGAAAATGATAGGGGCACACCCCCAACCACACCCCCTCTCTTATTTGCTACAGTACACCGGGCCCCACATGTGATTTTAAATTTTTAAAATCACATGTGAGGCTTGTTGTACGCAGCGGAAATTTCGGCAGAGTTTCTGGTGCACAATAAGAGAGAAAGATCGATAAGAATTCTTGTTTCTCAAAGGGAACAAGAATCTGAAGCCTAATATCCCATCAAAGTGGGATATTAGCTCTTCCTCTCGTCAGCTCTAGGACTGCACGTCGAGGGATCCTAAAAACTATTACAATGGCCACAAACTCAAACAAACTAATTTTACGTGGTTCGGCAAACTGCCTACGTCCACGGGGCAAGGAGGGGGAGATCTACTATTAGAGAGAGAATACAAAAGGTTTACAATCTCACAAACTAAACCCTCAAACTAACTCTCTAATCTCTCACAACAGCAGTAAAAAAAACACTCTATTTCTCTTGTTGCACGCAATCCAAGACCCTGTCAAAGCCTTACACGCTGCCAAAAAAAGAACCTCTGTTTTTCACCTCATACTGTACCTGCACTCCCTCTTCTTCTCCTTTTTCTTTGCTGCGTTTTCTCCAAGAAACAAAGCCGCCGAAAAAAAGAATCCACCTTGCTCCACAATGCCCTAGAAACCAAATAGTATATATAGGCTTGTATAGGCTATCGGGTGGGCTTTCACTTTGTCCGCTGGACAAAACCGAAGTCTTCACGCAGAAACAATTGAGTTCACGTGGAAACACAATATGGCTGGGAAAAGCCATCAACGTGGGTGGACCCCACATCCACAATTCTCCACATCGGTGAAGTTTTCCCAAAACTGAACCGACACCAACCAAACCAAATGTCTCACTTGTTGTGTCCAGTACACCATGAAACAATTCATGACAACAGACTCAATCCATAACAAGTCGAGAACCCAAATGAGAATGCAAACACTCTCCAAATGTCAGTATCAACTCACCAAATCGATCTCACCCCCATCAAATAATCCAACCCGACTGTATCATAAAGACTGCCTACGTATCCTCTTGCCCAAGGAATCAAGCCGAACATAGTTCACCCAAATGGCCACAAATGACCTCAATCCAATAGAAGAGTTCGCAACCCTTCTCCAATATCATCAACTCTGCGGCTGATAGCACCTCCAATGGTCTCAAACACCTCAACCTGAGGTAAACCAATGGTCGTATCCAAACTGCATCTATCAGCTGCACTCGAGTCAAAACCCAACTCATCATCTGCATCCGAATTCAAATGACTTCCACACTGTGTCACCTCAGCTGGAATCCCAACCAATACAGAATGACCTGGAGTATGTGGGAAAATCCCCACCCAATGTGGAGTAGCATCAATCTCCACCCGCTGCGATACCTCTAAGGTCTTTCCAAAACTCTCCACCTGCTGAGAGTCAATTGGCTTCCTCATCGAAGCCTCAACCAAAGTGACACTACCAGACCTATCTTCCAATGGAGTTTTACCTCCAATCACAGCAGTTGACAACTCTTCAATAGGATGACTCAAATATGTCGAAGCCTCTGTCCAGAAACTCTTCTGCAGACCATTGCTTGACAACAAACACCGATCCTCCTCCAGCAAGGCACGGTTCTCCAAATTTGTCACCTTATCTAGTTGCCCCAAGATTTCCTTCCCAACGAAGTGTCTCGCAATGCCGTGAGCTCGGCTCAAGGAAACCAATCGCCTATTACCTCCCAATGATGCCCCTTTGGAAGGCCCTCAAACATCCACGTGAACTCCTCTAGAACGACCCTTAACTCGGTGAATAGAGGTGCCAAACTTCACCTCGGTCTTCTTGCTCACATCAACATGTTCACTGGACTTCAAACCGCAGGTCTTCGCACCCTCTTTCAATCTATGCGAGGAATCAATACTGGAATGGCCAAGCCCCAAATGCCACAGTCTAGCCGAATCAACAGAAGTCGCCAGCTCTCCACCTGTTACTATACCTCCAGTCAAGTAATACATGTTATTCCTCCTGACGCCCTTCATCAAAATACGAGAGTCTCTCGCAATCTCGAGAACCATGTCCTCAACACGAACCTTCAGACCCTCTCCAACCAAAGCTCCAATCGAGATCAAGTTCTTCCTCAAAGAAGGAACATATCTCACATCATTTATCTCCCTAACAGTCCCGTCAAACATTTTTATGCGAATTCTTCCTATCCTAAGGATCTGGCATGCACGGTTATCAGCCATGTACACCACACCACTATCCACCAGCTTTTCAAAACTGGATAACCATTCCCTTCTAGGGCACACATGATAGGTCGCACCACTATCCAACATCCATTCAGATTCCTCCGAATAGCTATCTGTAGGACTGATAGAAAGCGAATAAATAGAAGAGTCAGAATTATTACCATCCGATACGATGTTTGCTTCTGATGATGGTTGCTTCCCTTTTCCCTTCTGCTTATTCTTCATCCATTCGTCGAGCTTTAGGCAGTCTTTCTTCCAATGACCAGTCTCCTTGCACCAAGCACACTGATCTTTTCCAATTGTAGGATGCCCTACTCTAGACTGTGACTTCCAATTCTTCCGGTTTGGATTCTTCCCTCTTGCGACCAACGCCTCTGCTACCGACTCAGTCAAATTCTCCTTATCCTTCTTCCGAAGCTGATAATTCACCAATGCAGCAGTGACCTCACTATACTAAAGTGATGCATTCCCATTAATCAGAGTAAGAACGAAGGTCTCATATTCCTCGTCAGGTAAGGAACTCAACAACAGCAACGCCTTGTCCTCATCTTCAATTACGACATCCACATTCGCCAAATCCGCAAGAAGCTTAGTGTAGTGGTTCATGTGATCTCTAATGGAGGTTTCCTTCTTCAATTGGAAACGATAAAGCCTCCTCTTCAAATGCAAGCGATTTTCCACACTCTTGGTCAAATACTTGCTTTCGAGAATCTCCCAAATCTTCTTCGCAGAAGTCTCATTCATCACATCATATTTTAGATCTTGAGTCAAATAAGACCTAATCACACCACACGCCGTTCGATTCATCTTCTTCCAAACCTTCTCTTCAATCTCATCTGGCTTGCTATCTAACTCCAATGTATCCTCCAAATTCTGCGCGTTCAGCGCATCCAAAACCTCACATCTCCATAATCCAAAGTTGTTTGTGCCATTAAATTTCTCCACATCTATCTTCATAGAGTGGATATTCAAACTCTGAATGGTCTTCGCGCCAGAAGTACCACCCTCGATACCCGAAGCACCTTCTTTCCCCGACATCTTACACACCAACGAACAAAGAATAGATCCAAAACTAAAAAGATAGAGTTTTTACCAAAAGATCCCACCTTTATCACCAAACGAAGCCCTAGACGAGCCTCCAAATTGATCTACTCCTCCAAATAGCCCAAGCGTAGCCCGGGCTCTGATACCACTTGTTGTGCGCAGCGGAAATTTCGGCAGAGTTTCTGGTGCACAATAAGAGAGAAAGATCGATAAGAATTCTTGTTTCTCAAAGGGAACAAGAATCTGAAGCCTAATATCCCATCAAAGTGGGATATTAGCTCTTCCTCTCGTCAGCTCTAGGACTGCGCGTCGAGTGATCCTAAAAACTATTACAATGGCCACAAACTCAAACAAACTAATTTTACGTGGTTCGGCAAACTGCCTATGTCCACGGGGCAAGGAGGGGGAGATCTACTATTAGAGAGAGAATACAAAATGTTTACAATCTCACAAACTAAACCCTCAAACTAACTCTCTAATCTCTCACAACAGCAGTAAAAAAACACTCTATTTCTCTTGTTGCACGCAGTCCAAGACCCTGTCAAAGCCTTACACGCTGCCAAAAAAAGAACCTCTGTTTTTCACCTCCTGCTGTACCTGCACTCCCTCTTCTTCTCCTTTTTCTTTGCTGCGTTTTCTCTAAGAAACAACGCCGCCGAAAAAAAGAATCCACCTTGCTCCACAATGCCCTAGAAACCAAATAGTATATAGGCTTGTATAGGCTATTGGGTGGGCTTTCACTTTGTCCGCTGGACAAAACCGAAGTCTTCACGCGGAAACAATTGAGTTCACGTGGAAACACAATATGGCTGGGAAAAGCCATCAACGTGGGTGGACCCCACATCCACAAGGCTCGGTGTACTGTAGCAAATGAGAGAGGGTGTGGTTGGATGTGTGGTTGGGGGTGTGCCCCTAGTGCCACCCTATAGAAAATTATGAAACCGATATTTTTATTGGATTGCGTCCACACCCCAGAAGGTGTAACATAATTATTCATCCCATGAACTACACGTGTGATGTAGATTATTTAACTCCCACTGATTCCTTTCTTAAGCGTCATTGTAATGCAATAAGTACTGTATATCATATCAATCTACACTTTATTCTTTTCTAATCAAGTCCACTGTCTGGAAAGTATAGTCTAGACTGTGTTATTCAATACTTTCCTTTTCCATCCAACAAACAATGAAAGTTCAACAATGCCCTTGACTTGTTCTATATATGCTCACCTCAACTTATTTTATCATTACCAGCCCTCATACATTCTTCTAATTAGTGTGATATCTAGTATCTACTATCTCCAAGCAAATGGGGTTCTCCAAGCGCATGCTTCCTGCTATCCTCCTCCTCTTCTTGCTCCTCATTGCCACTGGTTTCCTTCTCTCTCCCCCTCTCCTCTTTGCTTCCCTATTATTTACATGTCATATTACAGTCATCTTTCATCATTTGGATTGAAAACATAAATACATATATACATATTTTTATTAACTGCTTTCCGAAGGTCTTTTCCTAAAAGGGTTAATTGCATGATGCGTTATGGGCTATAAGCGCTTGTACCCTCAGGGTCTATTTGGCAAACCAATAATACAAAAGATATATTGGTGTTAAACCTTTCTACAAAACGTAGATGTATAATAGCTGGAGATACTGGATGGGACCGACGTGACCAGCGGAGCAAATCTCACCATTATCCATCTCATTTTATGAAATGAGCTGTCAGCTTATAACCATTTTTACCGTAGATTATCCATGTTTGATATATTTTTTTTCCTACCGCAGAGATGGGGCCCACGATGGTGGAGGCAAGGACTTGTGAGTCACAGAGCCACAAGTTCAAGGGCCTGTGCGTGAGGGCTAGCAACTGTGCTAACGTTTGCAAGACTGAAGGGTTCCCCGGTGGAAAGTGCCGCGGATTCCGTCGGCGATGCTTCTGCACTAGGCCTTGTCGTGAAGAGGAGAACGAATGAGTTGAACGGCTTATAAATTGTTGCTGATCAGTGGTTTTATGGTGTCTGAGTGCGTGTGAACGTGTCCTGTCTTTGAGAATAAAGCTGTTGGGTAGCTAGTCCAGTGTTGTTTGTTTTGTTGATTAATGGTGAAGATGTTAAATAGTTTTCACTAATAATTTGTATTCATCTCAAAACAAAAATATCAAATGCTCTCTCTGTTTGCTGTCAATTTTGAGATTACATGGTTATGCAGTTCTGTCATTCTACTTACTAGTGTGCACCCCGTGCAAAACACAACCCTCATTTTTTTTATTTTCGCTAAATAAATTCTGTTTTTAAATGTTTTTTAAGTACCACAGTGACATTTTCTTAAATGTTGTGCTACAGTGATAAAGGATACTGCTACAGTAATATTTTTTAAAACTATAATTTGTTGTATTGTTTACTGTAGCATGAATAGTAAATCTTTGGATCCCCTATTATTATAGATGAAGGTGTGATGTGGGGGCCACGGCCACCACGTGAATGAAGGACACAGAAAGAATTCCGCGTGAAGAAACAGATGCCCGTGAACCCGAATTACCCGGCCCACTCAAACAAACCTATATATATTATTGTGATTCCCTAGGTCAATGGGGAGCGCAGGAGGATTTGTTTGGCGGCTGCGGGGTGCAAGAACAGAGCGCGTGCAAGGACTTTGGCGGCTGAGTATCTTCTTGTGCAAGGGAGATTTTGTGTAGTCCCTTTTAGGGTTTTGTGCATCCCTTTGAGAGAGCTTTGTGAGAGATTTGAGAGTTTTGTGTGAGGGTTTTATTTGTGAGATTCTTGTGTAAACCCTATTTGTACTCTCTCTTCCTCTATTAGTAGATCTCCCCCTCCTTGCCCCGTGGACGTAGGCAATTTGCCGAACCACGTAAAAATTGGTTGTATCGCTTTTGTGTGATTTGTAATAGCTTTTTAGGTTCCCTCGACGCGCAGTCCTAGAGCTGACGAGAGGAAGAGCAAATATCTCACTTTGATGAGATATTAGGCTTCAGATTCTTGTTCCCTTTGAGAAACAAGAATTCTTATTACGACCTGACTCTCTTGTTGTGCTGCCGAAGTGCTGCCGAAATTTCCGCTGCGCGCAACAAGTGGTATCAGAGCCCAGATTTCAGATCTAGGGTGTTTTGGATTTGGTGGAGGAAGATTTTTTATGAAGCTTGGTTCTTGGAGTTCTAGGCTTCGGTGGAGATAGCATTAGGAGTTGCCGTTGGAGATTTCGCTTTCCTCGTGTGGATAGGAGATCTATTTGGAATCCGATCTAGGGTTCAGTTGGGTGGTTCCTAATTCTATCAAATTTGTTCTTTCTCTACAATTTGGAGTTAGTTCGCAATGGGAGAAGAAGGTGAAAGCAGCAAATCGATGGCGAGTACAATACAAGTTGGTTTTCAGAACACTAAAATTAGTGTAGTGAAGTATGACGGTAAAATCAACTTTGGTTTGTGGATGAGCGACGTACAGGATGCGCTCAATGCTCAGAATTTGGAAGAGACCATTATGGTCCACGAGAGACCACCTAAATATGATGAGACGGTATGGGAGAAAATGAATAGGAACGCTTGTGGGGTGATCAGGTCCTGTTTGGAACAGGAACTGAAATATGATGTGATTGGGGTGACGTCTGCAATGAAGATGTGGGAAATTCTCAACAACAAGTATCTCACAAAGAGTGTTGAGAACAGGTTGTACTTGCTGCGAAGACTCTTCAGATTTCAGATGTCCAGAGACACCTCGCTAACGGCTCATGTGAACAACTACACTAAGTTGTTGTCGGACTTGGCAAATGTTGATGAGAAGATATCGGATGAGTATAAGGCGATTATTTTGTTGGGCTCCTTACCCGATGAGGAGTATGATACCTTCGTGCTCACTTTGTTGAACGGGAGATCTTCGATCAGCTATAGTGAAGTGACTAACGCATTGACCAATTACGATTTGAGGAGGAAGGACAAGGAGACTTCCCGCGCTAGTACTTCAGGTCGACGAGAGGTAGAAGCCCATATCCGAAAGGTGGTAACAGAGGGAGGTCAAAGTCTAGAGGCCGCCACCAATTAACAAAGAACCAATGTGCATTCTGTAAGGAGCAGGGACATTGGAAGAGAGACTGCCCGAAGCTCAAGGAGAAAGATAATGGCAAGAAAAAGGGCCTGAAGGCCAATGAGGTGAATATTGCGAAAGGCGATGATTCCGATGATTCGTGCTTTTCTCTACTGATTACTTCGGAGGTGAACTATGTGGATGCATCAGATTGGATGCTTGATTCCGGCGCTACTTTTCATGTGACCCCTAGGCGAGACTGGTTTGCATCTTTTGAGAAAGTCGATGGGGGGCGTTGTTGTCATGGGAAATGATCAATCCTGTAGCGTTTGTGGGATAGGTACCGTGCAGATTAGGATGCACGATGGAGTAGTCCGTGAGTTGAAGGAGGTGAGATTTGTTCCTCAGCTGAAGAAGAATCTTATCTCAGTTGGAGCTTTGGAGGCGAAGGGATTCAAGGTGATTTTCGAAAACGCTGTAGCGAAGGTTACTAAGGGATCATTGGTGGTGATGAAGGGAGTCCGCAATCGGAATTTGTATTATCTGAAGGGAAGCACCGAGATTGGCCAGGTTGCTTCGGCTATTTCAGAAGCGGACATGAGCAGACTTTGGCACTATAGGTTGGGGCACACAGGTGAAAAGTCACTGCAGGCATTGTGCAAGCAGGGGCTATTGAAGGGAGCCAAGAGTGGGAAGATTGAGTTCTGTGAGCACTGTGTTCTTGGCAAGAAGACGAAGGTAAAGTTCGGGACTGCTATTCATCAAACGAGGGGCATCCTGGACTACGTGCACACAGACGTTTGGTGTCCCACCAAGACTGCATTACTTGGTGGTCGACATTGGTTCGTCACTTTTGTAGATGACTATTCTAGGCGATGTTGGGTGTACACCATGACAAAGAAGAGTGAAGTCCTAGATTTGTTTATGGAGTGGAAGAAGAGATTGGAACTGCAGACTGGGAGAAAGATCAAGACGTTGCGATCCGACAACGGTGGTGAGTATACTTCTGACCCCTTTCAGCAGCTATGTCGAGACGAGGGCATAATGAGACACTTCACAGTTAGTCATACACCGCAGCAGAATGGGGTGGCAGAGAGATTAAATCGGACTTTACTGGAGAAGATCCGATGCTTATTGTCGCAGAGTGGTTTGGAGAAGATCTTTTGGGCTGAGGCACTTACATATGCGAGCCACCTCATTAATAGGCTGCCTTCATCTGCGATTGAGGAGAAAACCCCTATGGAGATGTGGTCGGAAAAGCCAGCACATGACTATGACCAACTCAAGGTATTCGGGTGCCCTGCATATTATCATGTTAGAACTGATAAATTAGAACCTCGAGCTAGGAAGGCCATATTTATAGGATTCAAGCGTGGTGTCAAGGGATACAAGCTTTGGGATCCAGTTGATAAGAAGATTGTGCTGAGTAGGGACGTCACATTCGATGAGGCTTCTATCTTGAAGCTTCCCAGCTCTCATCAGGTGGAGAGCGACCCGACGGAGGAGATATCACAGGTGGTGGAGATCGATACAGCTCCACATTGTCCAGATGATACAGTATCCATGCAGGTGCCGACTGAGGTGACGCCAGGCGAGCACGACGGTGACACGGAGGATACGAGTACAAATGTGCAGGATCAGGAACCGACGGCTCAGGTTCAGGATTCTATTGCGGCACGGAGACAGAGGAGAGACATACGGGTGCCAGCACGGTATGCCGACACAGTTGCATATGCACTTCCGATGGAGAGTATCGATGAGTTAGTGCCTACTACATTCAGAGAGGCCGAGCAGAGTTCGGAGGCTGATTCGTGGCAGGTGGCTATGCAGGAGGAGATGGAGTCCCTTCATAAGAACGATACATGGGAGCTTGTTGAGCTTCCAAAGGGGCGGAAGGCAATTGGTTGCAAGTGGGTATACACGAAGAAGGAGGGCATTGAAGGCACTCCGTTGAGATTCAAGGCTAGGTTGGTTGCGAAGGGCTATGTACAGGAGGAAGGTATTGATTACAATGAGGTTTTCTCTCCGGTGGTGAAGCATTCTTCGATTCGGATTTTGCTAGCTTTGGTGGCACAGTATGGTTTGGAATTAGATCAGTTGGATGTGAAAACGGCATTTCTTCATGGTGATCTTGATGAAGAAATATATATGACTCAGCCATTGGGATTCCGAGCTGCAGGGAAGGAAAAATTAGTTTGCAGATTGAAGAAATCGCTATACGGTTTGAAACAGTCTCCTCGACAATGGTATAGGCGATTCGATGGTTTTATGCTTGGTCATTCGTACACTCGGAGCCAGTTTGATCCTTGCGTATATTTTCACAAGTTGAAAGGAGGTGTGTACATTTATTTGTTGCTCTATGTCGATGACATGTTGGTTGCCTCTATTTCCAAGTCGGCTATAGATGAGTTGAAAGTTCAGCTTTCAAATGAATTTGAGATGAAGGACTTGGGTGAGGCCAAACGCATTTTGGGAATGGAGATCAGCAGAGACAAGAAGAAGGGCAGAATTTGTTTAACACAAGTGGCTTATTTGAAGAAGGTTCTACAATTTGAAGCTTTCAGCTGGTCTTTCACCGAAGTCAGTTGAAGATCGTGAGTTGATGTCGAAGACTCCATATGCGAGCGCGGTTGGGAGCTTGATGTACGCAATGGTATGTACGAGACCAGATTTGTCACAGACGGTAAGCATGGTTTCGAGATACATGCATGATCCAGGAGTGGGTCATTGGGACGCCGTGAGATGGATATTAAGGTACATTCGAGGTACGCTCAATGTTGGTTTGGTTTATGAGCGGGACACTACAGGTGGGCAGCTATGCATTGGTTATGTTGATTCGGATTATGCCGGGGATTTGGATAAGCGCCGGTCTACGACGGGGTATGTGTTTACTTTGACCCGTGCGCCGGTGTGTTGGAGATGCACCTTACAGTCGACGGTGGCTTTGTCTACGATGGAGGCAAAGTATATGGCGGTTACGGAGGCTGTGAAGGAGGCTATTTGGCTTCGAGGACTTTTGGAGGAACTTGGTATATCGCAGAGGTCCGTCACTATTCATTGTGATAGCATGAGTGCTATCTATTTGGCGAAGAATCAGGTTTTTCATACGCGGACGAAGCACATTGATGTTCGTTATCACTTCGATCGAGATGTTCTTGAAAATGGTGATGTGGAAATTGTGAAAGTCCACACGAAGGATAATCCGGCGGATATGCTCACTAAGGTGGTTCCGAGCAACAAGTTTGATCATTGTCGAAACTTGTTGCATATTCGTGATTGTTGAGGCCGTTGACGGCCATTTGGATGAACTACGGGCGGCTTGATTTGGATTTTGATGGGGGTGAGATTGTTTGGACTCTCGTTCAGGTTCTCGACTTGTTGTGGATTGAGTTCGTACTGGGCACAACAAGTGGGACATTTGGATGCTTTGGTATCGGCTCAGTTTTGGGAAAACTTTACCGAGGTGGAGAATTGTGATGTGGGGGCCACGGCCACCACGTGAATGAAGGACGCGGAAAGAATTCCGCGTGAAGAAACAGATGCCCGTGAACCCGAATTACCCGGCCCACTCAAACAAACCTATATATATTATTGTGATTCCCTAGGTCAATGGGGAGCGCAAGAGGATTTGTTTGGCGGCTGCGGGGGGCAAGAACAGAGCGCGTGCAAGGACTTTGGCGGCTGAGTATCTTCTTGTGCAAGGGAGATTTTGTGTAGTCCCTTTTAGGGTTTTGTGCATCCCTTTGAGAGAGCTTTGTGAGAGATTTGAGAGTTTTGTGTGAGGGTTTTATTTGTGAGATTCTTGTGTAAACCCTATTTGTACTCTCTCTTCCTCTATTAGTAGATCTCCCCCTCCTTGCCCCGTGGACGTAGGCAATTTGCCGAACCACGTAAAAATTGGTTGTATCGTTTTTGTGTGATTTGTAATAGCTTTTTAGGTTCCCTCGACGCGCAGTCCTAGAGCTGACGAGAGGAAGAGCAAATATCCCATTTTGATGAGATATTAGGCTTCAGATTCTTGTTCCCTTTGAGAAACAAGAATTCTTATTGCGACCTGACTCTCTTGTTGTGCTGCCGAAGTGCTGCCGAAATTTCCGCTGTGCGCAACAGAAGGATCCGCTTGTTTGATGCTTCAACGCTTCATTAGTTTTAAAATAGTAATTAGAAGTGTATAGAAGAGAAATTCATCATAGTTCACTGTTTATTCCTTAAATCCAGCTTCTGTTATTTCCTATTACACTCAACATAACAATATTCATGCACATTAGCAAGTACTTTGCTCTTCCAGCAATCAATTGAAGCAATGATACGATGAATTTTCATGCTGATTTGTGTTGTTGAAACTGTTCTCAAACGAAGCAGGAGAATGAAAATCACCTCGAAAGCCGATGAAGTTCAAATGATGTAACAAAAACAAAGACTTACTTCCTGGTATTCATCAGCTTGATTGAAGGGATACAGCATCCGCAAAACACCAACTTGATTCGCGTCTTTTCGCAGGTATGCGCTCTTCCTCTGTCGATGCATTCTTGGGCAAAAAAAATTATGGAAGTCCAATTTGTTCGATCTCATGCTCCTCAGATTCTTAGTAGCGAGTGTCTCAGTCTTCGTCACCGCGAATTCAAGTGCAAAGATGGCCATCTCTTGAAGCTGAAATAACACTCTCCTTCTCGATATCTTCGCGATTTGATTCAGTAGACCTTTCTTCTGCAACTCGAGCAGTGAATTAAGTTTTATCCTTCTCTACCTCTACCCTAAAATTCTCTTCGAGCCACTTTACTCTCGACTGAAGCCCTGCATCTCTCAAAGCATTCAACGAAGACTTATACAGCCTCGCATCCAGACGTAAGCCCTCCGTTTTCAAATCCTTGAGCATTTCCACCAATTCATCAACCCTGTTACTCTTTGAGAAAACACCCACCATAATTCCAGCCAAAATCCTGTCAATTCTGCCTCCGTTCAGCTTAAACTCGTTATAGAACTTCAAGCACTCCTCAAGATCCTTAACCTTGTTATACGCACTTATAAGGCTGCTGTAACTTATTTTATCGGGTGCTATTTCCCTCCTCTTCATCTCCTTCCATAGCTTTTCTACTTGCTTTATGTTTGCGAGCCGCCCGTGCATATCGATGAGAGAATTATACACCCAAACATTAGGCTCGCATCTTTTTTCTTTCATCTTCGCTAAAAGCCTCGTCGCGTCCCTTGCCTTTCCCAATTTCCCGTACATTGAGATCATGTTGGAGTAAGCAACCACGCATCTATCGAACCCTTTTGCGAGCATTTCTGAAAATACAGCCTCCGCCTTCTGAGAAAGCCCGAGGCGACAGTAGACGTTGATGATCGAAGCGTAGGTCACTTGGCCGAATTCGCAGTTCAAAGATTTCAATCGCTCGTATGCTCTCAACGAAGCTCTAGGTCCTTCCTTAGATACGTAGCCATTAATAATTGCGCATAGTACGCAATCTGATGCCTTAACTTTGATATCCTTCATCGATTCTACGACTCCGATCGTCTTCTCCATTAGTCCCAATTCTACATACATCAAAACTAGCTTTAAAAACACTGCTGGGTCTCTAACCATTCTCATATCTTTTGCTTCTTGAAAGATATCTTCGGCGATCTCTGCTTCTTTAGCCCCTGCGAAAGAACAGATTAAAGAAGCATAAATAGAAGGTCTTGGAGAAATGCCTTTTCCGATCATCTCTTTGAAGTATCTGAGAGCTTTGAAGGCTCTCCCTGACCTCCCCAATGAATCACACAACACGAAGTAAATTTCGGCAGAGAAAGCTGAGGACTTCGATATTTTAGGCTCGAACTCCAGAAACAACGAGAGTACTTTATCCAGGTCTCCAAGCTTTTGGAAAGCGTACATGGTAGAGAAATAGCAACTGAAACTGGGTGGAATGTTCGCTGCCCTCATTCTGTCGAAGGCTGACACAGTACTTCTATACATGTGAAGCTTGTTGTAGCCTCGCATCGCAGCGCCGAAGGCCAAGACATCGACCCCCCTCTTGGTTTCAAGAACCTTAAGCAACGAATCTACAAGCCTGAACTTCCGTGCACGAACGCAGAAATGGATCAGTCTGGTGCATGTTGACCTGCCAGGACACACATTGAAAGCCTCGAAATCTTTGGATAAAGTAGCGATCGAGTTCCATTGCTCAGATTTGATGAGGCCACTGATCAAAAGGTTTACCGTTGATTGTTCTGGTTGGAAGTTTTGCTGGAGTTTCGCCTTTTGGTAGTAATCGAAGGCGAGGGCTCGAGTTCGAGGGTCCTTGCACAAAACCCGAATGTACCCGTTGGATATAGAAAAATTGGAGCCTTGGATGATTTGGAGGCTATCATAGGAGTCCTCAAGAATAGGGGATGAGGATTTGGAGGAAGAGTTGATGATGACTAGTTTTCGATACCCGAAAGAGGATGAGGATGTGATTGTGTGGATGGTGGTATAAGGGAATGAGATTGAGAGTAGGACTTTGGAGAGGGTTTTAGTAGGGAGAATGGGGATTAAAGAGCAGTCTGAGGTCCATCTGGCCATTGGTGAAGAGGGAGGGAGGGAGGGAGGGAGGGAGAGAGGAGGTGCAGGGAGCAAAATCTATCTGCATATAAATACCTTATCCACATGTAAGGATTTTTGTGGCCTCCAATATCAAATGAGCCGATGAGAGAGTGACAAGTGGAAGATATGACTACTGTTGGGAATATTAGCTGTTTAGACAAAGATTAATGTGAATTTTAAATAGTTGATTATTAGATCAGATAATATCAGATCACTATTGTAACTCAGAAATGAAATTGAAGCAAACGAAAATAAATGAAAGTTAGAAATACGGCCTGATGGTCGAAACGTGCAAGACACTGTCCCAAGAATCTAATTGTCCCCTCTCGTACAGGGCTACGCGGCAAAAGTTCTCGGAGATACAACGACCCTCGGTCAGGCGGCCTCCTTCTCGTCGGCACGAGTTTCAAGAAGGCTTTGTGAATTCTTCTCGACTTTCAGGGAACCAACAATGATTTAACAGCAAGAACACGAATATGAAGAACAGAGAAGAGGAGAGAAAATGTTGTGTTTTTCACTATATTTTAATTACTCGCCCATTTATCACGTTAACGTTAATAAATCTTAGCCGTTACTAAATATTTCCGTTACAAAATAAAATATTTATCATATTTTCATTACAAAATATTTCTATTAATCACGTTTTTAATCTGCATCATATTAATGATTCCAATTAGCAAAAACAAAATATAGCAGGTATTCGTGTCCGCACACGCCACCTGACCCGAGCCCGACCTGGCCGGCGCGTGTGTGTGTGCTGTGAAGCATAACCTTTATTTACTTTCAGGCATAAGAGAGATGAGAAAAGCTTATAAACACTCTTCCCTGTTATTCCATTTCCTATGTGGGACTAAACTTTTCCACTACAATGTTAAGTTTTAAGTTACACTTATTATAACTCCAACAACTACTTCTAGAATTATTTCAAAAGTTATATAACAAATGGTTACTAGCTGCTGAATACAGACTCTAAAGGTGTAGCACATTCTGGGCCATAGAACAGCAGAGGAATAAGAGAGAGAGAGAGAGAGAGAGAGAGAGAGAGAGAGAGAGATGAGACTTTTTGGCCTCAGCTTGAATCTAGGATCAACAGATTCTGGGACCGAATAGCATTAGGATGAGATCATTATGACAGAGGCGGGGGAAAAAAATTTATGGAGAATAATTGAACACGGGCATTCGGGTTTGCTCAAAATATAACTCAAGTATTTCGAAGATCAATGCAAAAGTCAAAATGCAAATTGAAATTTAGATATCGAACCATACCAGAAATCTTCTTAGCTCGTGAAGACCGGTACAACAAGAGATAGAAGGGTGATCATGTAAAAAAGTAGTCTCCGGGAGCATGGAAATTATTATTAGGTCCCTCAGCTCTTGAATCTTGCTACTCTAACTAAGGGCGCAAAGAGATATTTGTATACGTCTCCGGTAATGTAAACAAATATGGTTGCTATGATCTATATCTGATAGAATATTAGTTATAGGTACGGACATGCAATAAAATATCTTGACCCGTATCTAAAATATCTGAATATATGTTTGTCATACAGTCGCAACAGTTTTAATCCTAAGATTAATGGATTTAATTTGAGGATGATGTTGACGATAATGAGATCTAATTTTAGTTTTTCGGATATAACAAACATAGAGAAGAACTTTGTTGTGTGATATGAACCACATTTTTGCTCTTTTCTTCAGTTTATTTTATGAAAGTTACATACTTTATCATTGTAGGCGTCAAACATTGCCTATAGGTTTCCGCACGCAACTCGAGACGAAGAGAAGACGATGAACGTCAATGTTCGAGTCAAAGAAGTTCATCTGATGCCAAAAAGGAAGCAATGGAACATGCGAAGGAACGCGCGAAACGACGAAACAACGGGACGGGAAATTAAATCGACGAAACAATAGAACCGAAACTTGGACAAAGTGTCTCACCCGCGAGACACTTCAATGTGTCTCGCACGCAAGACACTTCAATGCGTCTCGCACATATGAGCGAGACACATGTTGTGTCTCGCCCGGTCAGCCTCCCGATGACGCGTTTTTCGATAAGTTTCTCGTGATTCGTTCCTTCCAGTGGCTTCCTAACTGCCTTGGGGTTATCCTTAATGTCTAGGTTGCAGAGTGAGCAAGTGAGGTCCCCATTCCACCCTTTTTTTGACAAGATGTCTTCGGTGTGGACTCTCTGTTTGCTGAGGATCCAGAAGAAGACCTTAACCTTCAGTGGGAAAGGGGATTTCCAGATGAAGTTGTGGAGGTGGAAGATGGTACCTCCGTGGTTGAGGATAGAGTAGAAGGACTTTACAGTATAGTTACATGATGGATTGTATGGCCACCAGATACTATCTTGGATAGAGTCTCCTGAAGGCTTGATGAGCTCAAGATGAGAGTGGAGCTCTGTGATTTCTGTTCTTTCCAATGCTAAAGTTCCTCTTCTGAGGATGGGGTGCCACCTCCAAGAGTTTTGAAACCTTATTCCTTGAGATTGAGTGGAGCAGGTGTGGGAAAAAACTAGAAGATGAGCCCTGGGGAAGAAGCTGCGGAGGGAGTTGGCGCCTGCCTATTTATTAAGGCCCACGGGTCATGAACTTTTTTTCTCAGAGAAGAAGCAATGAAGGTATCTGAGGAACCCCCGAATCGAGAGCCGTTTGGCGTTCCAGCCCAGTTCCAACAATGCACTTCCTCGATATCGAACTTTCGGACCCAATGTTGTCGAAAGAGAAAGTATCTACTGAGCATTACGTTCATGCATTACTTCCATACCAAGGTTAGCACAGTTGATGATATCAGCCCAAGTGTTAATAACACGACCCTGTCCTTGCTGATTCACACGGGATTCCACGTGCCCCATGCTACTCGGGTCAGAGCGTAAGCTAGCGGAATTAGTAGTATTTTTTGGAATCTGCAAGTGTTGCCATCACCTAGATTCCATCGAACATGACTAAAGAAAGTGAAGTTAATAGAGTATAAATCGTGGATCATCTTAGAAGCAGAACCTCTGGGAGGGTTAGTGATATGGTTGGAGTTGTTGGTTGAATATAAGGATAATATGACTTTGCTGATATATAAATCTCTATCAAGGATTTCCCAAATCCATTTGGATAGAGGAGCTTGATTGAAACATTTAATGATGCCTAGACCACCATCTTGTTTGGCTTTACAGATGTTACCCCATTTAACAAGACATTTGAATTTTGAGGACTGCTGGTGACCACCCCATAGGAAGTTTCTTCTAATTTTGTCTATGGCCTTGATGAGCCATGAGGGTAATTTGGAGAATTTGAAGGATTTATAATCCTCTAAAAAGACTTTCTAATTTAGGTAAAGGAAAAATAAGTCCACAATTTATTTGTTTACTGGAATAAACATCCTAATAATACTTAATTGAGATTTTGGGAAGCCTCGACTTTGGAAACTTGGAAAAATGGGAGAAAAGATTTTTGAGACGCTTATGGAGACAAGGATTGTTTAAACTGATCATCCTTAATTGCCAAATTGTTACTCAAGTCTAAGTATTTGCTTTTTAGTCCTCAAATGTTCAATTTTCGTGCAAAATCATCCCTCTTGTTGGGTGACGATACTTACGAGAGTGAACTTCTGTCAAATTTAACGGATTTAGATGGTTTTTCCGTTATACTCCCATATGTAATTAACCCCATTATTTAAAATGCCAACCCGTTTCATAACGAGTTTATACCTGAAACTAGCTCCAACTAAAACCCAACCACACCAACTTCTTCTTCTCTAACAGTCGGGAGCTTTCCCAAATTCAATACAAAGCTTTCTTTTTCCAATAGTTACTAGTACTTCGGTGCACGAGATGCGTGCACGACACAAAAAATTCAAGACATTTTGGTTTGATTTTTACATTGGTGAGAGGATTCTGTTGTTTTTTCCAAGTGTAAAGATATTTATTTTGATTTTAAAATGAGAGGATATTTTTGGAATCTATAAAAATTTGACATACAAACCAAAAAAAAGGGCTTTTCTTAAATAAATAATAGCATAGATAGTTATATTCCCAACGAGACTTAAATAAAAACCACATGGGGAAAACTCAAGGCAACTCGCGTAAATTTAGATGTTGGGTTAAGGCTTAATCCAACTATAGTTTGAAAACTTAAGGAATCCCTAACAAAGGGATAATTTTGCAAGAAAAATGAAGATTCGTGGGACTAATACGCAAATACAGCGATTTGAAACAGACTATTTGCTAATTAAGGATGATATAATAGACTAATATGAAATTGCCCCTATTTTAAAGTTCACACATGAGTTTTCTCTAATTTTATAAATTTAGGGATATTTGAACAAACTCTAAACTCCAAGGGGGTTTGGTGAAATTTACATTAGCTTTCTCAAGTAAATTTCATAAAACCCCCTGAACATCGGGGCTTTCACACAAAATTATACTAAACGTCCATAAACTTCGGGGTGTCCACAAAATACTTCTAAACTTTCAAAATTTTCCAATGGACCCCAACAACGTTAATGACATAGGTATCCATTATTTTGACAGTGTATCTTGTTGATCCACTAAGGGGGTGTGTTGATCCACTAAGGGGGTGTTTGTTTCACCAAAAATTTTGGCATTTGGTATGGATTACAAGTTTTAGGATCAAAAAAAGAGTTTTTTTAGTATTTTCGGATTCTATATATGGTGTTTGTTTTAAGAAAAATTTTAGAATATTAAATCCCAAAAGTGCAAAAAGTGCCCAATTTTTAGAGTTTGACAAATCCTCTCAATTGGAGAGGATTTTGACAAATCCCATAAATGGGTGTGCTTACCTCTCAATTGGAGAGGATTTGACAAATCCCAATTTTGTCTTTTGTGGGAGGTAACCTCACCAAGATAGCATATTCATCATATTACAAAATTTTGGTATTTGGTAATGCTATAATTTGAGCTTGAAACAAACAAAATATTATAAATTGTAGTATCCCAAATCCTAAAATATTAATGAAACAAACAACATTTTAGAAATCCCAACTCATAACAAAACACCTATGGATTTCAAATCACATGGTGAAATCCATATCCTAAAATTATATGATTTGAAACAAACACCCCCTAACACTGTTATGATATTCCAGTGAAATTTAAAAAAGTTTGTGACTTTCATGGCGAACACCCAAAATATTTTGGGGGGGGTTTTCTGCAATTTACCCAAATTTCAATTCCCAAAAGGAGGCTACACGAATTTCCCAGGGGGTGTTCTGCAATTTACCCAAATTTCATACCGAAAGGTTCCCAGAATTGCGCCCGTTACCGTCACTTCCTCGTCTTCCGTACTACGCAGATGCGCAATGACCCGGCAAAGGCAGCATCAGAGAATAAATAAGTGAAGAAGACCAAGCCTCCATACTTTGCTTAACGAAGAAGAGAAAGAAAAAAGAAGATTCCCACAGCAAGACTTTGAGGTTTCATTTTAGCAGGGCAACCCCTGTTGATTCATTGAGTTTGTTCTCTAACTTTGGTCATTCTTGCATTAAACTGTTTTATTTTACATGGGTTTGTGACCAAATTCGATTTGAACATCATCAACAGCTAGTTATCCTTGTTGCCGTTAATCTCTCCGTGATGGAGACCAACAAGGATGAAGCAGAGAATTCAATGGCAGTGGCCGCTGCTAAGGCCGCGTTCAAGCTCATCACTAACGCTTGGAACTACTTGTCAAATTATGTTCCGAGCGATGCTTCAGGTTCCAATCACAGTGGTGCTCAGGGTTCTGATTCAGGTTCTGGTTCTGGCTCTGGCTTTTATACCTCTTCGGACAAATCTATTAAGCACAATTCTTATAATAGCCACAATAGCAGTCATAGTAGTACTAACTTTGGTTCTGGTACTTCTTCGAATCGATCCGAGGGACAAACTTCTAGTGGTAATCAAAATGGCAATCACAGTGGCGCCCGGGATTCTGGTTCTAGTTCAGGTTTTGGATCTTGTTCTTACGCTTCTTCGGACAAATCTAACAAGCACCATTCATATGATAACCGCGGTAGCAATCAAAACAGCCAACAAAGTCCTTATGATACTGGTTCCGGTTTTCATACTTATTCGGGGAAATATGATAACAAAAGTTCTTATGACAGTAGAAATCAGAGGGGTTTTGGTTCTAGGACGGATTCTACACGATCTTTTACTGCTGTCTTTGGTTCCGCAATCAAGATTAAGATACACTTGAAGAAGCAGGAAACGGAGCTTGTGACAAAAATGTTCTCGTGGTCGCTCGAAGATGTCTTTAATGAACATCTGTTTAAGGAGAAGGTTAGTACTTCCTATCGGATTCAAACCTGTTATTAAATTCATCTCTTTGTCAAGGATTGCGGAGGTTACATAGAAACAAACTAATGATTATAATTTATATGATTGCTATACCCAAAATGTCTGATTGTAGCTAATGTCGGTATTTAGTTAACAATAAAAAAATTTAAAATAAAACATATATGGGATTCTGCGACAGTTATGACAAAAACATAAGTTCCTGGTTCTTGCAGGAGACATGCTGGAAGTTATTATTACTTATGCTTTCTTCGAAAAATTTCAATCCCTTTAGTTGATGGAATGTCCAAGGCATAATCTATTTTTGGTAAACACCAAATACTTTATCCTCGAGAATCGCTTTGATAAAATCTCTCCAATAATAAATACATTTTAGACTTTCCAACTGAATTTTTGTTGTGCGGTCCAGAATAAATATTGAAAAGTAACAGTACATGAACAAGCATTCGATAAAAGTTCACTGAAATTTTGTTAAATTGATCTATTTCGAGCTTGCTTTTACAGGTGAAAAATATTCCAGAAACATTTTCGTCTTTGGAGCAATACTTAAGTTCCTATACATATCCACTGCTTGAAGAAACGCGTGCCGACCTATGTTCATCTCTGGAAGTCTCATCTCAAGCTCCTTTTATCAGAATACATTCTCTTCAAAAGGTTACGTCACTTGAAATGACATACTTTATTGAGCTTGGAAACGGAGAAAACTCAGTTGGAAAGGAATCATACACTCCAATGGTAGCTGATATATTTGTGTTATCTGAACTGAGACCGAGACGTGTATCTGATCTTACTAGAGATGGGAGACCGTATACACTTGCTTTGGTTGTCAAAGGTGGAGGTAGTGAAGGACCAACAGCGAAAATGTTCGTTATCAAAACATCGCAGGAAGTTCCAGTTTCTAGTAGAGAGGACGAGCCAAGAAAGTCTCTATTTGCAATTTACTTGTCATCCGTGAACTCGTACAATCGTATTTGGAAATCGCTGGATTTCTATACGGTACGGAATAAAAATGCTAGTATTATCAAAATGATCTGGGAGTATAACCCTTTGGTATGTACCAATATCCTATCATCTCATTTTTTATAGTTGAACTACAAGAACCTTCAAGTTGATGTTTTTAAAAAGAACCCTTCATCTATGATCATTAATAAAGAATATGAAAACCCCTACACAACTTACAAATAAGTCCCTATATATTACTAATATGTCAACACTCCTCCTCAAGGTGGGCGAAAGATATCCACTAAGCCCATCTTGTCACATCCTCTAATCATATCTAATGAGCTAAGTCCTTTAGTCAGACAATCTGCTGTCTGGTCCTTAGTTGAAACATGACTTAGCTCTAGTAGTCCACTATCCAACTTCTCTTTGATGAAGAACTTATCGATCTCGATGTGTTTAGTTCTATCATGTTGCACTGGGTTGTTAGCGATACTGATAGCTGACTTGTTATCACACCACAACTTCATCTTAGCTCCTTGATCCAGCTTCAGCTCCACCAGCATACTCTTCAACCATAGTAACTCAGCAACTCCTAAGGCCATAGCTCTATACTCTGCCTCAGCTGTCGATCTCGCCACCACTGACTGCTTTTTGCTCTTCCACGAGACTAAGTTGCCTCCTATAAAGATGTAGTATCCTGAGGTGGACCTCCTGTCATCAGCACAGCTAGCCCAATCAGAGTCGCAGTAACCCTCAATACTCACATGTTCATTCTTTCTGAATATCAGCCCTTTTCCGGGGGCACTCTTCAAATATCTCAGAATCTGGTACACAGCGTCCATATGACCCTTCCTCGGATCATGCATTTAGCGGCTCACCATACTCACTGCAAAAGAGATATCGAGACGTGTGTGACTCAGATAGATCAACCTGCCCACCAACCTTTGGTATCTGTCATGATCAACTGGTTCTCCAGCTTCAGCACCCAGCTTGAACTTCTGGTCGATCGGTGTAGTTGCAGGTTTGCACCCTAACATCCCTGTCTCTTTGAGAAGATCTAGTGCATACTTTCTCTGGGATAGGACGATCCCCTCCGCTCCACGAGCTATCTCTATTCCAAGAAAGTATCGAAGCAAGCCAAGATCTTTCACCTCGAATTCCTTACCCAGTCTCACTTTGAGTTGGGCAATCTCCTTCTCATCATCCCCTGTAATAATCATAGAGTTGGGCAATCTCCTTCTCATCATCCCCTGTAATAATCATATCATCCACATATACTGTAAGCATGGTAATGTGACATTCACTTCGTCGAAAGAACATGGTATGATCGGCATTAATCTGCTGGTATCCCATACCTATCATAGCCCGCCTGAATCTGTCGAACCAAGCACGTAGAGACTGCTTCAGACCATAAAGAGACTTCTTCAATCTGCAGACTTTGCCCACTGTCTGATATGTGTCGAATCCTGATGGTATTTCCATGTATACCTCTTCCACCAGATCTCCATGAAGGAATGTATTCTTCACATCTAGTTGGTGTAGCTTCAACCCACCATTTACTGCCAGAGAGATCAAGGTCCGAACAGTGCTCATCTTCGCTACCGGTGCAAAAGTCTCATCATAGTCGATTCCATACGTCTGGCTATACCCTTTTGCCACAAGACGAGCCTTATACCGCTCTACCTGTCCATCTGGATTCTGTTTCACAGTGAATACCCGCTTGCATCCAACTGCTCTCTTTCCTTTTGGTAGTTTTACTAACTCCTAAGTGCGGTTCTTCTCAAAAGCCCCTAGCTCTTCGTGCATCGCCGTTTTTCACTTTGGGTCCTTCTTAGCAACCTGTCAATTGTTAGGCACAGTAACAGAGTCCAATGATGCAATGAATGCTCTATGTGCAGGATGAATGTTAGAATATGATACAAACTGGACAAGATCTCATCCATATCTATCGGGAGGATTTCCCGCATTACTACGAGTAGTCCTACGTACTGATATTTGCTTCCCCTTTCTATTATAGGTTAGTAGCTCCCCCTGAACCGTGGGCCTAACACCTCTTGTCTCATTCTTCTTTTCTTCTTCATTTTTCTTTTCTTCCTCATTCTTATTTTCTTCTTCATTCTCCTGCTCCTCCTCGACCAATTCTCCCTCCCAAGGAATCGATACAGAAATTGATTTCTCCACATTGTTTACCGATCTCTCACCATTCTCCTCCTCTTGCCTCATACTTCTAGTATTAGGCGAGTTACCAACGGATGAAGTTACCTTCCGGGTGTAATATGGCTCGAGTTCTCGAAAGTGCATATCCATGCTCACAAACAACCTTTTTTCCACCGGGCTCCAGCAAACATATCCCTTCTGAGTAGCAGAATATCCCACAAAGATGCACTTCACAGCTCTAGGGGCAAGCTTCCCGACGGATGGCCTGTTATCTTTCACAAAGCACACACAGCCAAACACTTTAAGTGGAAGAATCTCACCATTATCTCCCTTCAACGTCTCACACGGAGACTTCCAATCCAGCACTTTCGAGGGCATTCTGTTGATCAGCGTTGCTGCGGTCAATACTGCTTGCCCCCATAATGTTTCTGGGACATTCATAGAGATCATCATGCTTCTAGCAACTTCTAAAAGATGTCTTTTCTTCCTTTTCGCTACCCCATTCTGGGCTGGTGTGTATGAATATGTTGTCTGATACTGTATTCCCTGAGTTGACAAATACTCTTTAAGCGCTCTGTTGGTATACTTTGTCCCATTATCCGACCTCAATACCTTCACCACTGTTCCGTATTGAGTCTGAACATTCCTATGAAAGTTTTGAAAGCAACCAAACATTTCACTCTTATTCTTCATCAGGTATAACCAAGTAATACGAGAGAAACAATCAATAAAGGTAACAAAATATTTGTATCCATTCATAAAATTGTGGAACAAGGCCCCCAAACATCTGAATGTACCAAGTCAAATGCATGAGAACTTCTATGACCAGAACTAACATAAGAGCTTCTAGTAAGCTTTCAAAACTCACATGCATCACACACAAGTTTCTGTTTATTTGCTTTCTCAAATAAAGATGGATACAATCTACTTAAAACACTAAAGGATGAGTGTCCCAGACGCTGGTGATGAAGCATTAACTCACTCTCAGCACTCATTTTAAATCCTATTCCTGATTTCTCCACGATTGACACTAACGCTGAATCCAGCCCTTCACGATCCAGATACCACAGTCCACTACGCCATGTGCCAGTCCCAAGTCTCCGCCCTGTTCCATTCTCCTAAAAAATCACCTTGGGAATATCAAAAGAAACAATGCATTTTAGTTGGAGGATGATAGCACTAATGGACAAAAGATTGACCGGAAAGGAAGGAGCATGCAAAACATTGGACAAAATTACAGAACCAGTACAATCGACTGTACCCTTACCAACCACCGGCTGAAATGTACCATCAGCTGTTTGAATACTATCAGGCGATGCTATGTGAGTATATGATGAGAACTCACTAGCTTACCTGTCACATGTCGAGACACACCAGAGTCGACTATCCATTCTGATGATCTGTCGGGAGACATAGAAGCAAGAGCATATATGTCATCAGTACCTTTGGTCGGATGAGCATAGGTAGCAGTGTTGCCTCTGGCGAAGAACGAAGTGGATGCCTCCTCAGTCCCACTCCTCAAGCCTCCATCCCCTGCTGCTTTCTGCTTCCTCCTGAGTATCGTCAGGAGAGCATGATCCTCCTCAGTAAAGACCACCTCAGCTTCTTCTTCTCCCTCTGCTATCATCAGATTCGCCCGGCTTCCTACCCCTCTTCCACCTCGTCGACCCCACGGTCACGACCACGACCTCCGAACTGTCCACGTCCACCCGAATCTCCTTCCTTGGGTGGCTTGGTGCAAGCATGTCTTAGATGACCCACTGCACCGCAGTTGTAGCACTGCCGAGTCTCTCCTCTGAATTCAGAGAGGCTGCCAGTGCTGACTTCACCACAGGAAGTCCACCTGTCCCCGCCTGTAGCCTAATGCGAGTCTCCTCCTGGATCATAGCAGAGACAGCCTCCTCAAGCGTGGGAATCTTTGGCTGAGCTAGCAGCAATGCAATTCGCTGAGCAAACTCTGATGTCAATCCTTTGAGAAACACCATAGTCCTCTCCTGTAGAAAGGCCTCCCGTTCTTTACATCCTAGGTCCTTGCAGCTCGCCCGAGGTGAGAAGTGATCATAATCTAGCCACAGCCGCTCCAGCTCTGTGGCATACTCCTGTACAGTCCTATCTCCCTGGACGGTGGCGTCGATCTCTCCCTTAATCTGGAACACCCTCAGGTTATTCCTCACTCCATCATAGGTCCTCCTCAACTTTTCCCAGACGTCCTTCACCTTCTCAATGCCATCCACTGTAGCGGCGATCGACTGGACCAACGAGTTGAGGAGCCAGATGTATACCAACATATGAGTGGACTTCCACTCATCTCTTCCCTCCGAGTCCTCATCTGGCTCTGTAGCCTCTCCTGTTAGATAACCCTCTAGATTCCTCCCTGAAAGGGTATATCTCACCCGTCATGACCAGCTCAGGTATGTACTTGGTCCATCCAACTTCAGATCGATCCCCCCCCCCAGCCGACAACTTCATCAGCTTCATCAATGTTGACACCTCCGCAGGGTTCAACTTCTTGATGATCTCCTCCATCGATCAGGCTTCAGACCCAACACTTGTTCAACTTCTCTTCCGACCCTTGTTGTGTACAGTGAAAATTTCAGTAGCACCTCTGTTGTACAACAAGAGTGAGATCTCAAACAAATTCTCGTTTCTCAGAGGAAACAAGAATAAAAAACAGTGATATATCTCATCAACGTGAGATATATACTCTTCCTGTCATCAGTTCAAGGACTGAGTCGAGGGAATCCATGCCAAACTCTAGGTTCGACATGGTGCAGCAAAAAAGGGGTTCGGGGTTTGAGGAGGTTG